TTTTTTTTTTGCCATTTAAATGTTCTTTTTTAAATAATTTCAAGGTGATTTATAACAAAATTAATACATTTCTTATCAAAGTTAAAGGATCTTTGAAACAAAAATTCGATTTTTTTTTCCAGGGATAATAGGGTAAACAAGAAGCATAACTTAAAAATTTGAACCTCAAAAATATTTTGCAAACAAGGTTTTTGAAATAAAAAATTGAAAAAAAAACTTTAATTTTTAAAAATGGAAATAAAACCCCGAACAAAAAGCTCAAAAAAAATCAAATTCGTGACCCAACCAAATAAAATAAATTTTCAAAATAAATTAACAAAATATTTCAATCTTGCACATGCATATAAAAATTATCTCTAAATTGCTGTCGGCATGGATCTTTTGAAGTTTTTAATTTAATTTCTTTTCAAAGAACTAAAATTTGCCGTCATATTTGCGAGTCTAATAAATCTTATGAAAATTTTTTCAGCAAATAATAAAAACTAGCGAAATTAATTTTGAAACTCAAGCTAATCATCAGTAGCAACTTGCTGAATTATAGGGAACTAGAGCTAGTAACTGGTTCTCGCCCTAAGAATCAAGTTTTTTGCTCCAAGATGAATTCGAAAAAATTTCATTTTTTTTATTCAAAAAAAAAGGAACAATAAAAAAAACTATAGAAAATCTCTCGGAACAGAACCCCACTGACCAAATGATCAAGATGAGATAATGATTTTATTTAAAAAAACACGTGTCGTAGCTGAAAATTTTTAGAAAAAATATAGTCTTATCTATTTACTCACTATTTACGTCAGTTGAATTTGAATATTAAGATGAGAAGAGAAGAAATGTTTTTTTCGTCTAATTTATCTTCTAGAGCTCCTTCTATTTGCACTCACAAGACACTCTCAAGTGTTCATAAGTTAGATATATAAATAATTGCTACATAAGAATTGCCAATAACCACTTCTTCTCCTTCTATCCTTAACCAAACATATATATGTATTATTGAGAAAATCAAATTGATATGACAGATGCTTTCAATGTCACAATAGAAACAATCAGTAGATTGGATGATAAATATTCATTTCTAATAATAATGCACACCACTATCCAACTATATAGCACGCAAAAAACTGAGATTCTTGTGCTATTTTGCGAATTTTACTCTTTTTCGCGATAAAATAGCAATGAAATTTTTTTGCTTCGCGGCTTGTTGATAAGACTAAATACACAAAAATTGTATATATTTTTTTTTGTTCTTGTGCACAACTATAAAAAAATTAGTAGTAGGCAAAATAAGAAGAAGAAGGAGTAATTATACACGAAAAAAATATTATTTTTTTCGTTTCTTTATGCGTATGTGTAGTTGAGAATGAAAGATATAGTCCAAAAATAATCTCTCGACTGCACAACTATGTGCCACAGAAAAAAATTCATAATCTTTTTGAAAAAAGAAAATTAAATTTGCAAAGGATAAGGCGCTGTTGTAAATGAAGGATTTTTTAAGTTTGATGGAAAAATCAAAGCAAAAATTGTTAAAAATATGAAAATTTTGGAAAAATTAAATTCAAAATTTTGTGAAATGTTTCAATTTAATTTTAAGAGTTTCAATTGAGAAAAAATATTTTTAAACATGTTTTAGAATTTTTGAGCAGCTTCGAAAGACCAATTTACTGATTTACTTAGCTAATCCAACCACTCCTCTAGCAATAACTTTAATAGTATCGAATATAAATGAAAAATCTAAGAATAACCACAATCTTCCCCAAACTGCCACACCCCCAAGACCCCATCATCTCAAAAAAGATGCACTTTCAAATTTTTTAGACAGAAAAATGGCAAAAAAAAATTTTCGCGTGTGGAAATTTTCCTAAAATCTTATTTTCCTTCCTCTCACTTTCAAATATGTTTTTTTGCTACACTACAAAAACTTGCGGATTTTTAAATTAAATTCAATGTCAACATTTCTTCTTTCTAATTTTAAAATAGAATGATCACTTTCATTTTCATCTCTTTTCTTCGTCTTCGTGTAGCATTTTTTCAACCGAGAAATGCAAAGACTTCTTCTTTCTGTCATCAAAAAAAAATCCCTCTTTCTACTCAGTCTTCTTCTTGCTATTTTTTGTGCGCTTCTTTATTTTTATTTCAGTGTTTTTTTTCTATTTCATCCACACACAAGCATAAAAAAATGAAATACATTGATGTGACATTGAAAATGCGAGTCAGTTCTTATAAATACATTGAAACCGCTAATCTTTATTTTGGAGAAACAGTCGGAATCGCGAAAATAGAAGAAATAAGCAAAAATGCAAGTTTACTTCATAAAAGAGAATCTAGACTTCTTATTCTTATTCTATTCTCGACCGTCTGCGTCTCGAATTCATTCTTGTTCTTATTCTTCATCCATTGAATAATTTTTTTTTATGTATTCTAGAATTCGCGCAATAGACGAAGGCACTAATAATGGAATTGATGAATGCAACAAAGAAGAGGCATTATAAGATTCTTTTTTGACGTGTCTCTCTCACTCGATCGTTGTCTAATTTTTAAAGTATTTTATATTTCGCTTGAAAATGAGTTTTTCAGGGTCATCTTCGGAACTATTTTATTTTTTTTGCTGACTTCTTTTCGTGGTGATGATAACACAGAATGTTTTTCACAATTTGAGTAAATCATTTGAGGAGTAAATAGATTTTGAAGAAATTTATAGAGGTTTTCATAGGTTTTAAGCGCATTTTATTGGAATATTGAAGAAAACTTCGGTTTTGTGTCCTTGAAAGCTTTACTGAAGACATAAGTTAAGAGAATATTGTTAACCAATTCAACAAAGTTTCAGCCTTATTAACAAAATTAAATTTTTTTTAATCGCCATCATCCAACTTTATGCCTGCAAAAATCTAATCAAAAAAAAGCCACCATAAAAACACACCGACATACTTTTAACTAGAATCACCCATTGTCTACAATATTATCGTACCCAAAACAGAGAGACATCGCTCTCTCTATATAATTTTTTTATGATTCATGAGGTTTTTTTTAAAATATACTTGATACTAATCGCAAATATTACAAAAAAAAACTTTTTTTCATTAAATTTGTCACGTATTATGACAATTATTCTCTAAAGTACACTTTTGATGTTTGAAAATTTTCACAAATTTCAGGAGCAAGAAGAAAACTTTATTTAGTCACAACGGGATGACGATCATGATATACACATATGCAAAATAGAATTGATTTCATAGCAGACACAAATGCCGGCTTTTTTGTGCATTTTAAAAATTTATTTCCGTAATTTTTCATTTTTTTATGATAAAATTGACCTTAATTTGAATACAAATTTTTATTGCTCCTCGTTCCTTTAATTTGCTAGTGACTGTGTGAATCTCTAAGGTAGTCAAGGATAGATGCAAGGTTTAAAATAGATTTTTACGGTCTGTCTGAAGATTAATTCTTAGAAAATGATGCATGGTCGACTTTCGGATGAAGTGGGTCAATAAAATTTTGGGTATTGTGTCTGACTTTTATTTTGAAAAAGGTGATTCTTTTTTCTAGTTTATGAATATTAAGAGGTTTCTGCATTAATCTTATTTTTTGGTTTGATGCATCGATAAATTGAAATTTTAAGTTTCTTGGTAACCCAATTTAGATATTATTAGGCGCAATAATAAGATATACTTAAAAATAATCACAGTAATAGCAGTTTCGTCATTTCGAGAGCAAATTTCATTGGGTTAAAGTTAATACATTCTAATCTTATCGCTCATTATCAATACATTTACAAACACTTTAAATTTCACATTCAAAAGTGACCTTCATCACTTTCTATACAGCCAAAAAGTCTAAAGAAACTCTAAAGGCTCAAATTTTGAATTCGCGTTTCAACATGAATCCACATTGTAGTGAATAAGTTTATCGAAAATAATTTTCCAAAACGTTTCAAACTTTCAAATTCTTTTCGACAAAAAATAGTTCTTAAATTTCCATTTAAGACAAAAGAAATGAAATGTTTTTGTAACATAAGATGTCAAAAGTCAAAAATAAAAATTTGCATGCGATAAACAAAAAATTTGGCATTTGTTCTGCACTTAAATTCTTTATAGTTTTTGTATCGAGTTACATAAAATTATGTAAAAATATTTATTTGTAAAAAACTTGATTTAGTGTCTAAAATTTTAGAATTTTATAAAAACTTTGAATTTAAATTCAATTCTAATAATTCAAACCAAAAGTTCATCAAAAATGAATTTGAAATGTTATTTCAATTCTAAATCTCATTCTTAAATTAATCACAAAAAGTTCCTTTCAAATCATTTCAAATGGCATTTAAAAATTCAATTTTATATTCAAATTTAAATAACTATTTAAAAAATATTCTCATCTTCGCAACCCTCACAACATACAAACTTAACTTCTCTCACAGAGTAAAACTTTGGCATAGCCGAGAAACTTTTTATCAACAAAAGAACTTTCTATTGCTTATTAAAATCATCAAGATGAGAGAATCAACATTAAGACGCATTAAAAATTCATTAGAAATTATTTATAGATTGTTTATATAATTATTCTTCTTTATCAATAATTTTTTTATTCGTCATTAAGTCGCCAAAACTGTATTGTTCACATGATTTTGATTAGAATGTTTTGAATTTAAAAATGTGAATTATTATTTTGAGAGATTTTGGTATTTTTGAGGGATTGATTTTTTAAACAAATTCAATTCAAATCTAAGCCACAACAATGTTAATTTATCAAACCTTCATTCAATTACATTGTGCATAAAAATTGATTGAATCAAATATTATCAATTTAATTGCAACAAACTCAAAACTGCATTAAACACCTCAAATAAAAATTCACAATTCTCCATAAATAAACATTTTAATCAAAAATTAAAGGAAAAAAACAACTCAATTAATTATTTATATTAATTAAAGACATTCTTTTCATTTCTTTTATCAATTTTAATGTTCTTTAAATTGCAATAAGCATTAAAAATTCATCTCTAGAATATTTACCTTCTAAGAATTTGCCTGCTTGTTGCTAACACAAATACAACTCCCGTCTAGAAAGACTTTTATTTTCTCTTGACTACAATAAATTCGATGAGATTTTCCTGAGTTTTAGTCAATCAAAACTGTTTATATTAATTATGATTTTTTTTGTCTAATTTTGTCGATTTTTCAAAAGTTTTATGACAAAAAGACAATTCAATTCGTCCATTTTCATGGTTTTGAGGACTCAAAAGTAGAACGAAGGGCCTCAAATGTTTGTTTTTGGCTTATATTATATTTATTTGCTACACCTATAAACAATCAATGACTTTCAAATCACGATACAGCCGAAATAAAAGATATTGTGGATAAATCACACGTTTAACAAATAAATTAGGTTTTTATTAGTTTTTGACTTTAGTTTTCTTTGTTTCCTCTTTTTTGCACTTTTTTACAACTTTTTAAATATTTTTTTTATTGTGATATAAATTTTTACTTCATTTTAAACAGCACAAGTATTTTATATATTTTTTTTAAATTCACTCATCACTAAAAGAAAGATAAAGATCCATTAAGAAATGTTAAAAAATCATGTTATATACATAAGCAAAGAATATCTCGAGAATCACACGAGAAAAGTGCACATTGTAGAAATGAAAATGAAATTTTTTTTTGCCTCGCTCTCTATGTGTTTTTCCTCCCCTGCTGCAGGAAAGGAATATATTCAGTGTGTACTCTATATATAGCAAGAAAAGTGCATATGGGATGAAGCACAGCTGAAGAAAGTGAAAGTATGTAGTTGTTATATGCAAAAAGAGAAATTCTTTTGGTTTTGAATTTTTAAAGACTTTTGTGGAATCTATGGGGAATCGGAGAAAATTGCTGAATCTTTAAGATGTTTTTGAGTAATTCATGACTGCTGAATAATTTGGGATGTTTCTAGAAACTTAGAGCTTTGTTTGGAAATTATTAGATTTTCTAGAACTATTTTTTTCACTTTAGAAATTTCAAACAATCTAGACAAATTAGAAGTTGAAGATGCAGCATTTAAAAAAATTATTTCAAATTATTTCACAATTTTAACAAATTTAAAAAAAATGCCACACGTCAATTATCACAAACTAGACTATCTTAACTAGCTCGATAATTTAAGTGAAAGTGTTCAGAACCGGCAATAAATTTTTACAAGCCTCACGAATTTTCCTTTCAGAAAAATTGTAATTTTTTTAATAGTTTTCTCGTTAAATTATTCAAAAGAACTTTTTTGGAAAATTTTAAACACTTATTCATTAATTTAAACAATTTTATGAATTATTTTAATTTCTTATTGAAAAGTACGAATTTTAGGCGAGATTAGAACTGAAACTAAGGTAGATTAAAGCTATAAAATTAAGCTAGCTTTATTTACTCATAAAACAAACATTTGAAATTAAATTTGATGCTAGCAAAACAAAGAATTCTCCGAATTCAGGATGACTAATTATTTTAGTGCGAAAAAATGAAGACATAGTTTTTAAAATTAGAAAAATATGTGAAATTTCTTAGAAATTCTTCTTTTAGAAAATTCTCTCGAATTTAAATTTTTTTTATATTCAAATACATGGAAAATAATTTTATAAATAGAGAATTTATCAAAAATCTTCCTCAGCAATTCTCAATAAAATTTTAAAAAATTCAAAAATCATTGAAATTTACTTTTAAAATTCCTTTTTAAGGAGCCAAAATTAAAAATTTGTCTCAACAATTTTTCACTTCACTTTATAACATCTCAAATCTTGAGTGTCATGACAATCTCGAATGAATGAAAAATATTTTTAAAAAAATCTCAGTTAAAACCCGGCAAACTCAAAAACAAAAATATTTTCTTCATTTATTTTGTGTCCTAAGACTGCACACTAAATGCACCATGAATTGCTTTTTTAATCTATCGCTGATGAATAGCGGGGCTAAACTAAGAAAAAAAATTATATTGCCGATGTGTGAATACACTTCGTCGTGGCCAAAAAAAATTGTATACATATATTTTTTTTCAGTTCAAAAGGATGGAGTTTTTGTTATAAAAAGAATTCTTATTTTTTTTCTCTGTATCACACTAATGTACATGTTTGCGTTGTGTATTGTCGAAAAAAAAATTGAGAGACATGGCACACAGGCAAAAAAAATTATATATGTTATTTTCTTTATTTCAGTATGTATAGTTTAAGTAAGCACACATCATATGGTTTGATGATAGTATAGTTTTTTTTATTTTCGTTCACAGTCAATAATAAAAAATAATTTTTTGGGCTGCATAAGAATTATTTTGAAAATTTTTCTCATGTGTTTGTGGAAAAGGAAAAAATGATGCACTTCCAGTTATGATTCTCGATTTTCTTATGCAGATTTTTTTTTATGTTGTTGTTTTTTTTTGTGATAAAGTTCATTTGAGTTTTTCTGAGAGAAATATATTCTCATGCTCTGTCCATATTTCTCAGTCAAAAAATATATATTCAACAACTGTCAATATTTTTATTTACATTCAGAATTTTTTTAAAATTATTTTTTTTTCTAATCACCAAGAAAATATTTTTTCACAAATAATTTGCACACACTTTCTTTAACCAGATAGAATTATTATCCAAAAAACGAGAGTAAATGAGAGATGCGTTGTAATGAACTGAAAGTCAAGTGTATGACTAAGTCACTCACTGCCACTGCTATTTCCTAAAATATGATTTCTTTCCTTTTATTTTTTTGCCTCCTTTTTTTTCACAGACTAATAATATCGTTAAAAAAACTATATGTATGTATGACCGCTTTGGCGGTTAGAAATCTTGTGCTGATTCTGCTGTGCTCCGAATGAAAAAAAATCATCATCGTATTCCAGCAGTTAATATATAAAATTGTATGTATGCTTCGTTTCGCTAACATTATATAAATTCACAATATTTTTTTTTTCTTTCTTTCTGCTTTTTTTGGGAACTCCGAGAGTTTTATACAATTTTTTTTTTCATGCTCTCTTTCTATACACTGACAGAAAAATATTTTCTAACACCGCCTACACGCGAATATCACACAAAAAAACCCCCCCGAAAAAAAGAACTGTGTACTGTGTTATTCTATTCACAAGGCAGAATTGTATAGATATACATACAGCACCACAGTTTTTTAATAGGGGAGAGCAGCAGCAGCAGCAGTACGAAAAAAAGTGCTGCTTTCTCATTCACAAAATTTTCCCATACCACCACGGCTGTTGCTGAGAGTATGAGAAGATTAAACTTTTTTTTCGGCTACGAAAAGGGGGATGAGGACGAGAAGAGAGGAAGCGAGAGAATGAGAGTAGTCGCGAACATATCCTCATACTCGGCTGTAAAATTTTTTTCGCGTACTTTTTTATAGAGTTTTTTTTGGAAAATGTGGCGCAAAACCCACCCCAAACTCATGATGGGGCTGATCACCTCCCAACATTTTAAAAAAATATAATTTCTCTCATTCTCTCACTACCCTTATTTCATGTACATATTACTAGTAATGTGTAGCGCAAAAAAAAATATAAAAAAACCAATACACACAGAAAAAAAAGCAGTAAAATAAAAAAAGTATATCCCATATTCAACAGTACAAAATTTACAAATACATTGTTAAATTATTCTCACATTTGAGAGTAGCGAGACTCCTCTCATCATCATCATCATCATCCCCCTTTTATTATTTTATATTCTGTATACAATATTCAATGTTGCTGCTGCTGTGCCATGCTTTTAATGTATAATGATGATGTATCTAATACACAACCATTTACTTTTTTTTTCTTGTTGTTTCTTGTTCCTTTATTATTTCTTTTTCATTCGAAATAAATAAAAAAAAATAAGGAAGACGGCACGACAAGGTGGAATGAGGTAGCGGCACAAATACATTTACTATCTCATACATTAAAAAAATATATTTTCCGTTTTCTTCTTCTTCATTGCCGATTCTTCAAAGCCATTACTTTAGTTTTTTTATGTATCTTCTTTTTTTTCTAACATACACACATACATAGAAGGGCGCGTTAGCGGAGCAGCATAATAACACATCATCATCATCATCATCGGGTTGTAGAGAAGAAGAAAAGAAGCAAGGAGCAAGAAAAAAAAATCACAAGACATGATGAATAGGATGTGTGGTATGAGGAACTGCGAGAGAGAATCAAGTAAGTAAGTAAGTTTTTACCATATCACGAGGATGCGAGGTGGAATGAGGTGATGTAAACTTTTTTTTTCCTCCTTAAGCAAAAATCTTCGTCGTTGTCGCTCACGAGAGAGCAAGAATAAGAAATAAGGAAGAAAAAAATTAAATTCTTCGGTATTTCTCTTTTTTTCCGTCTCTCGCAACTTCTTGTCTCTCGCGAGTTTAAGAAGTGCACCCTCATACCATCGAACTACAAACATTATCAATTATTTTTCATCAATTTCTTTTCTAACGCGTATTGTATCGTTATGGGTTGGATGCCATAGGGGGAGTGAGTTGGTCGGAGTCTTTTTTTTTTGTTTGAATAAAAATTATGGAATGAGTATGCAAGTAAAGTAGTTGCGCGAAAGAAGGAATGAGATGATATTTGATATCTTTCGAAGCGGAAGCGCCTAGATGTTTCCATTACAATCATCAAATTGATAGTAATAGTTGACGCTCACATATGTTCGTTATGAGGATTTTATCATGCTATAATCGTTACTTTTATATGGAAGATATTTTTTTTTTTTTTGAGAATTGGGGATGGTGTTGGTGTTAGTTCGTCTATTGGCACAAGGAATTGAGGAATAGAGCCAATTTTAAATGAATGCTAGGTGCAGTAATGGAAGTAGGGAAGGAAGACCACGCTGTGAGAAGATAATCATCAAAAATTACTAAGTTTAGCCAAAACTAATTTAATCAAGTGGTTCAAATAGAAGAAATCAACAAAAAAAAAATCAATTGAATGCCTTGATATGCTTTACAATTCAAAAGAGATCCCGAATCTTCATTATCAGTTATCATCGAAATATCAAAAAATAAATTTTCTTCAACAATTAATTAAAAATATCTTCACATGACCCGGTCCTTGTTTCTGTCTGGCAGTCTGATTCCAGATGTCAGAAAAAAACTCGCCATTGATATGAATTCATTCAGGCTGCTTTGGGATATTTTGAATGATTTTTTTTTTGGATGAATCGGCGAGGAAAGTTCTGAGAAAGTTTTTATTTGAAAAAAATATTTTTTTGATTTAATTTTTTTTTTTTGAGAAATTTAAGGTTTTTTAAAAATTATCTGCTCGAATTTTCGTATTATTAATGACTGGAAGAATCAAGGTTAAATATCAAAGAAAGATGAAGTCTCAAAAATTACAAACAGTTTTTCAAACCCGTACAATATTAAAAGCGAAATTATCATCATCAATACAAAAGGTCATCAATATCTTTGCTCACGTTGCTTTCTCAATACTACCTCTATCAATAGTTTCAACCCAAATCTTCAATAAAATATTCAGATAGTCGTCAAGTCCATTATCACTATATCTCTATAAAATATTCATATATATTGTGCATATTATAATTTCTATAAATATTTCTATCCATCAGTCCTTCGTCAAGTATAAAAAATGCGCTTATATCATCCACAAGTTTATTTTAGATAATATTCCAATAGTTCCATAAATTGCTACATCTTCTTATTATTTCTTATCCTTGATAGCAAAAAATAAAGAAATGTATAAACACGAAGTAAAATACGAATCAATAAATTATTTCCTTTTTTTTCCTCAATGTATATGCACATATGTATTCCATTTTAGCCGATATATTAATCTTTCTATGACTGTTGAAAACTAAGCGTATCAAGTATCATCAATA